CAAAAAGCGATAAAGCAAAGCATACAAGCAAGGTGTATAGCCGTATATAAATAAATTTTATATAAATTTTATCAAGGGCAATATTTGGGCATGTGCATTTTTTATCTTGATAAAAGCATTTGGAAGATCGCTATTTTTGCCGGATTTATTCCCTTAAAATATTTAGAAAATATGCTATTTCACATCCAGGTACAAAATAACAAATATTTTATTAGAAAACAGCACAACATATGCTTTTATATTAATATAACAATAATGTTGCCGCCAGGAAGTTATCGCGCAAAAGAAAATGTAGCTGTCAAAGTACCAAATTTCTGGCAATATTTATCAAGACAAAAGCTTTGAAAATTATTGATTGCCAAGAGCAATATGCGGTGTCCATTTGCAAAATTTTGCCTGATAATATTATCAAGGAAAAAACTTTTTCCTATTGAGACAGGAAGTAAAATTAGTATTTCTTTCATCATATATGTCATTCTGAAACCAGTCAATCAGACTGATACAATTGTCAAAGGAGCTAAAGGGTATTTGGTAGAATTTTGGGTAAGCATTGCACGGATTAAATAATGATTAAACTATTTTTTTTTTAATTTCACTATTCACTTGCGATTATATTTTTTTTTGATTTGTTTCTGCCGAAGCAGCTGATTAAGAATTTCGAATTTCACGTCTTAGCTGGCAGTGCTGTTGATAGTCACGATCGGATTAAAGCATATCAATTTTCGAATTTTCGGAACGGAGCTACGAATTCGTAACTACGAACATTCGGATTACAGAGATGTACTGACGAAAGGTATGGATCGCGTTTTGAAAGTGCTACAAGTTCAATATTCATTGACGATATTGCAATCCGCGATCCAGATTTGAAAATGTTTAAAAATTTTGCGATATGGATCACCATCCATCCATGGTGAAATGAACTGAAGGTGGCGCATTCCCAAAACCGCTACTTTGGTTTTGCCGACTTTGACATTTATGGCAATACGTAAACAAACTTTTTGTTTAGAAACAAGTGCAAACGTATTGCAAACGTATTGTGTACTTTCAAGTGAAATATCGAAGTAATTCGTGCGTTCTGAAGTAAAAAACGTTTTATTTGTAATAAAAACTTTATAAAAATGTCGTGACGTGTGTTGAATTGCAGCAGACGTAGGGGTAAAGCCCTCAAATGCAGTTTTTTTTTGTTTCCCCGCGACGACGCCTTGGCCAGAAAGTGGGTAGAGTTCTGCCGGCAGGAGAAGCCATACAATTTAGGCACCAGCGTAATATGCATGGAGCACTTTACGGACCACTTTTAAACACGACATGTTAAGTTGAAAACGTTGAAATACCACAAATTAAAAATTAAAATCGTAGGTAAGCAAGCATCGACCACTTTCTGCAGGAAAACATGCGCTGCGATAAGATATTATCACTTTTTCGGCACCTGCAATACAAACACAAAAATTATTAATAGTTAATTAATAAGACCTATTCTTTTGAGCACATTTCAAGAGTGGTTGTATATTTTTTGTTAACGTTGTGCTTAATTTGCTATATTCAAAGATGGCTTGAGAAATTGGTGAATCGAGAAGAAAACATGTTTTCTCACTGCAAATTCACAACTGTCAACTCATTGTTCTTCGCCATATTCTTTGTTTACCCGTTGCCATAAATGTCATTCTGCGGGAATGCGCAATCTTGTATTCTATCGTTCTTGCCATCCATCAATACTGCATGCTACACCGTCAATAAATATCGCGATACTTGGATCACGTCAATAAATACTGACCGTGTGACACGGCCCTAAGTGTATTGAAATTAAGGCTGCATTTCTTTATTCATTCTGAACGTTTGGAATAAACTTTTTTGTTTATTTATTCTTTAGAACGTTCCTGATGATACGTTGACGTGTATTTCAAACGCATTCTGTTTATTCCGGCTGTGAAATGGGATTATCCAGAATGTATAAAGAAACGCAGCCTAATAGGCTGTTTTTGCTTACGCGTAAAAGCACATTTAGCGAATTTAGCTCTAAATGCTACTCTAAATGTACATTTATCCATACAAAATTCGTCACCTAAATGCAACTAAATGCGACTCCATTTTTGCATTAAGAATCTAAATGCTAAAAGCAACCCTGTGATCTTCCAAAATTTCCACGATTCGAACATGTAGGGTGTTCACAGTTCGTTCCAAATTGTGTCTGAAAATGTAGACGGCTACATTTTGAGACATCTTTAGCATCAAACTGTGAGCACCCCTTTCTAGCAGTCGTCGCAAAATCGTCTCAAAACTTTGCTGGTGTTGTCAGACATTTCTACCTTGCGTGCATTTTTTATATGTCGCCTTTCGATTTTGTTTCTGAAAAATTGTAATTATTTAACTTAATTAGCAATTCGTAATATTTGTTATTTCTTTTCCTTGATTTGTTTCTTTTCATCAGAAATTGCGCTCAAATTAAATGCAAATACAGAAAACGTGCCCAATAAATAAAAAAAAATGTGATTAGTATTGCCATAATGCAACCCTGCTGCGAGGTTGCAAAATGTAGACGCGTAAAAAACATACCTTTGAGTGTGACAAAATGTAGACGGCGTCGTTTTCCAATTTTGTATGGGAAACAACAACACCACAGATTTTACGGTTAGAAAACGTCTTAAAATGTAGACGTCTACATTTTGAGACACTATTTGGAACGAACTGTGAACACCCCAATGGTTTAAAGAGAAAAAGTGGCAACATTGCTTTTTCGAGTATACAGTTGCTAGCTGCGTTTCAGTGATCGCCGATCGAGATTTCTTTTGTTTTGTATTACATATTTGGATAAAGAAAAGTTAAGCAAATTCAACATCGATTTGATGCTGATAGAAATCTGGATCAATTTGTGATCAACTCTGTTTGGTTTGTTTCCTAATTAAGTGAGGAAATTTTAATTGACAGCACCGACAAATGAATATATACACAAACAAATGTTCGGTTATGGTTAAAACAATTCAAGTTTTTGTATTGAATTTTTGGTTTAAAATTTATTTTTTCCTTTTCAGTAGGGTTTTTGCACATTATCTTCTGCGTGAGAATTGATCGTAATATATACGCATCTAAATAAGAGACTGGATCACGGCTGTTTGTCAAAAGCATACGATTTCGAACTCGCGTAAATGTACATTTGCTAAATGCTATAGCACGAACGCTCTTCGAAAACATATGTTCGAAAGTGCTAAATGTTGCATTTTAAATGCTGCAAAAACGCTGCATAAGAAAATGCTTGATCGTGTAACTGGCCGTCTCCACAGGATAAAATTTATTGCTGCCCAGCTGTCATTTTGGTCGCTAGATATAAGTTATATCAGTGGCAGTATTTGTGTGGGCTTTTTATATCTTGATATCATGGTGAAATGAACTGAAGGTGGCGCATTCCCGAAACCGCTACTTTGGTTTTGCCGACTTTGACATTTATGGCAATACGTAAACACACTTTTTGTTTAGAAACAAGTGCAAACGTATTGCAAACGTATTGTGTACTTTCAAGTGAAAAATCGAAGTAATTCGTGCGTTCTGAAGTAAAAAACGTTTTATTTGTAATAAAAACTTTATAAAAATGTCGTGTCGTGTGTTGAATTGCAGCAGCCGTATGGGTAAAGCCCCCAAATGCAGTTTTTTTTTTTGTTTCCGCGCGACGACGCCTTGGCCAGAAAGTGGGTAGAGTTCTGCCGGCAGGAGAAGCCATACAATTTAGACACCAGCGTAATATGCATGAAGCACTTTACGGACCACTTTTAAACACGACATGTTAAGTTGAAAACGTTGAAATACCACAAATTACAAATTAAAATCGGAGGTAAGCAAGCATCGACCACTTTCTGCAGGAAAACATGCGCTGCGACAAGATATCACTTTTTCGGCACCTGCAATACAAACACAAAAATTCTAAATAGTTATTTAATAAGACCTATTCTTTTGAACACATTTCAAAAGTGGTTGTATATTTTTTGTTAACGTTGTGCTTAATTTGCTACATTAAAATATGGCTTGAGAAATTGATGAAGCGAGAAGAAAACACGTTTTCTCACTGCAAATTCACAACTGTCAACTTATTGTTCTTCGCCATATTCTTTGTTTACCCGTTGCCACAAATGTCATTCTGCGGGAATGCGCAATCTTGTATTCTATCGTTCTTGTCTTGATATAAGCATTTGTAATATATTGTATATAATTATTTTCTGACATATGTATCAAGATACAAAAATGCGTTGCCATTTGTGTACCACAAGTAAGCAGTTCACTTTACGCGGAAAACGTGTTTTAATTTTGCTAAATGCGAAAATATATAATTTTTCACCTAATATATTAGAGAACAGTGAACATTTTAGTGCACTCCATTAATTTGCAATTGAGGCTGCGTCAGCAAACGTTTTAATGCACTCCATTGCTTTGCAATTAAGCCTGCTGCAGAAAACTGCAGCAGCACCTCTGCGGGATTGATTAGTTAACTTGTTAATGGAGGCTGCGTGGAGCAGAAACAAAATCATTATGAGGGAATGCTGTTAATATAATAATAGAGAAACATTTGGGGAACGGCTTTGTCGTGCCCTATGTACACAAAATGCAGCGATTCGTCCCAGCGCTACACTTGCATCTTGACGGCTGTCGCAACTTAACACACAGCGCTTCATTGTATTAGTTTTTACGCAGTCTTCAACTCAAGAGTCACTCACAAATTGCAAATTAACACAATTTAAACTGATTTTTCACTTATAGTTCAAATTTCTCTTTCGCTGATTTGTAAACAAAGGTTTATTTACAAGTTACCACAACTGCCAAAATCGGCAAAACCAAAGTAGCGGTACCACTGACGGCACCACCTTTGTTCGCAGCACCGTGATCAAGATATAAACTTTATTCTGTGGGACGGGCAGTAACGTCGAAGTTATTTGATTAGGAAATAAGAACAGTTTCACCCTGTTTTGTGCCTCAAATATCTTTGTACTCAGGATTGAATATAACATTACAACTTAAAGCCCTTTCCAAACATTTCCTCAAATATAGTTCATGCGATTTGCAGGACTTTAGGCAATTTTAATTGAAGAAAAAGTGATTTGCGCCTACATTTTGTTTATTTTCTTCTCTATAACTAATTTTTTAATTGTGGATCATTTTAATGCCATCAAAACGTTGTAATATATAGTGAGACAATGTCTGTGCATTACAAATTTAAAAGTGCCCTAGACTTTGACACTGTCACATTTGACGGTCTTAATATTTCTGTCGGCGATCTAAAAAGGTCAATCATACATCAAAAGCGTTTGGGAAAAGTTACTGACTTTGATTTACAAATAACAAATGCTCAAACTAAAGAAGGTAGGTATTTTTAATTTTTATACAGATGTAGCAATTTTAGCACTAGAAATTAATGTATTGGAAATAATGTTTTGAAGCCCTCGTTCTGTTGTTTTCTATTTAGATACATCAGCTAGGAAAACACGAATTTAATTTGTGTGCTACTATGGTACAAGTTATTTAAGTTTTTCGTTGTATCGTTGAAGCATAAAGTTACTAGGAATGCTGCTGAAATGATAGTCTTTGGCCAAAAGTGAGTGGCACCGGTGAAATGAAAATGGCCTGATTATGTTGCATACATATATCACATGAGGCGAGAGTGTGTAGGGATACTATTGAAAATAAAAGCAAAACATGTTTTAGGTGCACAGAACTTTACTACCTAGGGAGGCAGATTCCTTTCGTGAAACTGAACATTTTCCGTACACATTTGTATATGTACATATGTTTACATGCTTGTATTTTGTTTTCGATTTTTCAAGAATCTTATTGGATATTCCCTTGTTGCAATTCCCTTGTTGTTGTCGTTCCATATGTAAATGCTATTCTAGCTTGCTTACTAACAACAAATTGTTAAGGGAATTCTCTGAGTCTTGCAAAGCCCTTGCACGGTGCACGGATTGCATGGGTTGCAAAGCTGTCCTATACGTAAACCGGTTTTCCGTGCAATCTGGGGGCCGCAAAGTGCGTAATTTGGCCGATAAGGGGGAAGGAAAATCGAAAATCGAAGTTTATAAAAAAAGTTAGAATGCGATATATGTGCGTATGGATGTCTGATATAATAGAAAATTGGTCCCCAATTGTTTGAAGATAAGCTGAAAGAATGCTGAGCTTCTAACAAAAACTATATAAATTCATATTTCAAACCTTGTTCCAAAATTGTAAAAACTGCAAAATTGCATCTAAATTTTCAACTTTTAATCAGACTTTTTAGAATATCTTTTGACTATGCAGTTTTATAGCCCACTGAATTTTAGTGGAATGAAGTGCAAGTTTTAAGTTGCTGAAAAATGGCGTTGATTTTTGGCAATTTTTTAATGCATTTTCTCCATACCAAATATGTTCGAAAATTTTTGTTGTATGGAAAAAAGTGCGTACTACATTTAGAATCAAAATGATCAAAAATCAACTTGATTTTTTAGGAACTTCAAACCTGCGCTTTATTTTACTAAAATTAAATGGACTATAAAACTGAATACATAAAAAAATTCTAAAAAATTGGTTAAAAAGTTAAAAATTTAGATGCATTTTTGCAGAATTTTGATAATTTTTGCACAAGGTTTGAAATATTAATTTATATGGTTTTTATGTTAGATAATGAGCTGTTTTCATAAAAAAAAAAATATTAAATAAACAAAAGAAAAATAGAAAAAATTTGTTAAAGTGGCATGTCCCTATTTATTTTTCCACCACCGTATCTATATTATTCATTAAAATTTTTTTTAAATAAAAAATTAAGTTTTCAGGGAATGGTTATTTAATATTATACACAAGGACATTTTAAGATAATATAAGTTCTTTTTCAAAAACAGTACTCGTTTCAAAATAGGGCAAAATGTTTTTTATTGGAAAATCCACAAATGTAATAAATCCACAAATGTAATAATACAAGATGGAGCATCTTTTGTCGTATTGTTCGACATCCGGATTCGATAGCCCGCAAGCCCATCGTTTTTAATGCGACATGTTTGTTTTAACTACAGATTCGGAATCTTTGGATACAAATTCCTAAAATTTTTTGATCTCGGAAGGGCCTTTTCCAACCTCGACTTGACTCCTTATATATATATTTTTTATAAAACCATATAAATTCATATTTTAATGTTTTTGCACAAATTATAAGAATTCTACAAATTTTTATGTAAATCTTAAATTTTTTAATTAGATTTTCTAGAATTTATACTTCACTAAATTAGTCCAACAACGCGTAAGTTGATAGTATTGATTTTTGGCAGTTTTTTTTAAGCATTTTCTTATGCTGAACTTCCGCTAGGCATTGAATGACAAAAAATTGGAGGCATTTAAAAAATGTCATGTGGAAATGAATATTTTTTTTAAGTTATTTCAAGAATATTTTTTAATGCCCAAGTTTGTCATTAAAATTTCTGCCATTGGTCCCGCCGGAATATGCATGCTGATGCTGAAAAATTTGGGTCTTGCGGGAGTAGCGTCCCTTACGAAGGCCCTTTTTGTTAATAATGAAATCATATCAACTGAATTAAAAATTTTACGTTAATGAATTTAATAATAATAATAATAATAATAGATTGGCGCTTACACATATGTTAGTGTTTGGCAAAGCCTCTCCTCCGATTTGTTGAGGGTGCTTTGATGTTGTCACACAGGGAAGAGGGACCTACAGTTTTCGCCGACTCCGAACGGCAATTGTATTTTTATGAGAAGCTGTTTTTCATGGCAGAAATATGCGGCAGTCAAAACAGTTCCTGCTAGGCTGTCACAGAACACCACACCCAAACTACAGTCTGACTCTGAGAGCTGCACCCCCAAGACACGTAAGGAGACACCTCAGTCACCTAGAAGCAGACATCGACCATCAACTTCATTCACCACTGAGCCGCAGGGTTGCCACTACTGCTGCAGCTCGCTTCGTACCGGCAGGATGCATAACGGACCCACGTCCAAATTTCTCTGCTGAAGCGGCTGTTCTAGACGATGAGCGTGACAGGCCCATCCCGGAAATCCCCGTATCAGGGATCACAACGCGGAGATTCGGCAACTAGTGAACGTACATAAGCGGAAGAAGTGGAAAGAGCATCTGCAGACCTGTAACTTCACGTCTAGTGTGCGTAAGCTTTGGTCAACCGTGGGGTCACGACGATAGGGTCGAAATTTCTTTCGGCGACCATGCTCCGTCGGACCCGGAGCGATGCGCGAGCTATTTTAGCCGGCAGTTCATCCTCTGGTGGACAAAGCCAAGCGTCGAGTGACCAGAAGGCTGCACAAACGGCAAACAACTTGTGCCCCCCTTGCTTTACCTAGCGGTGAAGTTCAGGTGGCCATCGGGAAGGCGAAAGCCATGGGTCCCGACGGAATATGCATTCTGATTTTGAAAAATTTAGGTCCTGCGGGAGTAGTGTACCTTACGGAGGTCCTCAATATGTCTATGGCCACTCTCCTCATCCCTGAGATCTGGAAGGTGGGGAGAGTGGTCCCACTGCTCAACCCGGGGAAACCAGCCAACAAAGGATAACACTCCTTTCTGCGGTAGCGAACCACACTAGAGGGCTTGCTGGTCCCGTATTTCACAAACCACCTGACCCCAGCGAAGCATCAGCATGGTTTCCGTAAAGTGCACAGTACAGCAACCTCACTTAACACCATAAACACTCAGATAACACGTGGCCTTAACCGTAATCGTCCCTGTGAGAGAACTATACTAGTAGCGTTGGACCTTTCAACGGCGTTTGACACCGTCAGCCACTCCACGCTACTAGAAGATATAGAGGCTTCCTCTCTCCCACAGAGACTCAAACGGTGGTCGGCGAATTATTTGAGTGGTCGACACTCGTCGGTAATGTTTAGAGACAAATCCAGCAAACACAGAAAAATAAAACAGGTGGTTCCACATGGTGGTGTCCTTTCCCCACTGCTGTTTAACTTTTACATTTCAAAGCCCCTCAACCACCAGAGGGAGTCTCGATTGTCTCTTACGCCGCCGATTGATCGATCATGGCGTCTGGGAATGGAATTGATAACTTGTGTTCGAAAGTAAATGGGTATCTCTCCGAACTTTCTCGTTTCTTCACTGCAATAAGCTTAACCCTCTTCCCTACAAAATCCTCCGTGACCTTGTTCACCACCTGGACGAAGGAGGTCAGGCTACTGCTCGTCGATGATGCCCCAATTCCGACGGTGAATAACTCCAAAATACTCCGAGTAACCTTCGACAGTCTGCTCTCCTTCTCTGTGCACGCAACCGTTGTTGTCAACAAAGTACAGAGCCGCGACAAGGTCCTCAAGTCGCTAGCCGGCAGTACTTGCGACAAAAACAAAGAAACGTTGCTGGCAACATACAAGGCAATAGGCCGTCGCCGGGGACTGAAATGCAAGAAAATGCAAGAAATACCAAACATTTTTGATTTTTTAGAAAAATTTTGAGATGCAGTTTTGTAGCCAGCCCATTAAATTTCGGGATAATAAATTGCAAGTTTCAAGACGCTAAAATTGATGTTTGAGATTTTTTTTTTGTTGAGGGTGTTGCGTATTTTCTTCCATTGCAGTTTTTGTTTGCGTGATTATGCGCAACTGAATTTGAAGTTTCCTCAGACGTGCATCTCTAAATCACAATACAGTAACGTTGAGTATTTGGTAAATAACATATGTATGTATATATAGCACCCGCTTCTGAGCATTCAAGATTTCTTTTCATGTGCAAGCTATGAATTGCAAATTCGGGGAAAAAATAATTCAAAATATACATAATTATATATTATTAATTTCAGAATACCAAGATGACACGGCCTTAATTCCCAAGAATACGTCTCTGATTATTGCTAGGATTCCGATAACTCAACCAAAAAAGATTTGGAATCCTCAAAATATAGAAAAACCACAGCAGGTGCGAGCAACTTCGCGAGGAGATGGTAACTCTTTGGACTTATCAAAGATGAAAGGCAGTGAAGAGGATAAAATATTGGAAATGATGATTCAAAGTACAGCCGATTACGATCCTAAAAGGTAAAATTAATACCTAATTCACAATGTAATAGTATATTTCTTGGCTATGACTGAAGCAGCAATATGTCCATATTTATGTTCATTATAATTTCCCTGAACATTGCTACAAAATATAAAAATTGTCTCTTAATAATAACACTGGCCAACAAAATTTTGCGGCACAGCCTTTGAGAGCTGATTGCTATAGAATTTTTTCCATAGATAAACAATATGTCCTTTATTATTCATTTATTATTGACTCTAGTTTTCGAGATATTTGGGATCGAATGTATCAAAAACGCATTGTTAGATTTTTTTTTTTTACTTTTGTTGTAAAAACAGATGCAATGAGCAATTTTCTGATCAGTATAAAAAAAAAGCTTGAGTGTTACCATTTTATACCAAAAGATAAAAAAGATTATATTTGGCGTAATTATTTTCCAATAGAAGTTCAAAATATGGTAACACTTGTCGATCTTTTGAATCCAAAATATCTAAAAAAAGAAGAGTCAATTGAATAATTTTAAGGCCAGAATCTGATTCTACGGAAAAAATCATTTGAAACCAGTGTTCACTGGTTGGGCCGCACACGCTTTTTGTTGGGCTGTGTAATCAGGCATTTTCTACAAATCACACGATTGGAAATCGGTGTGATTTGCAAAACCGTTTTTTATAGATTTTTTAAAAATATTAAAATCTTGACACTAAACGGATGAATACGACGTTTTTAGCATTTTCCATAACTTTCATTATAAATATTCAAAAATATTTTGCTAATCACACCGATTTCAAGTTGTACGTTTTCCAGGCGGGCCTGAATTAAATGAATATTTTAAATTTCAGCTATCACAGAATAAGGGGACACTCTCAAGTCGGTGAAGTTCCGCCTTCATATCGCTGTAATAGGTGCAAGAAAACGGGGCATTGGATAAAAAATTGTCCTTATACTGTAGGCAAGGAGCATAGTGAGGTTAAAAGGAATACCGGAATTCCCAGGTCATTCCTTGATAAAGATGATAAGTAAGTGAAAATTTTTATTGAAGGAATTAAATCATAATGTAAGTTTTTCATAAATTGTATTTGGGCTACAGGACTTTACGCTTTCTCCTATAGTCAAATACAATTAACGATTAAAAACTTTAATAGGCCGCAAATAACAAAAGGAACAAATTTCAATTCAATGAAAAATATGAAAGTATTCCATAAATTTCGCAAGACTTGAGTGTGTTCAAAGTGGTTAGACGTTGCAGGTTAACTTCCTCAAGCTACTTTTTGGCCTTTCACACAGTGATCACAATAAACTTTGAAACGACAATCAATTTAAGACGTTAAAAATATTAAAACCATCTTTATTGGGTTTATGGTGATAAGGTTTATGCTGATGCTACCTATTATAGTAAAAGACAACTAAAAGGGCGTACCTCCGGCTATTACCGTTTCGATTCTAGTAACGCATTTTAAGCTGTGCCTCGATTTTTTTTAATGACAGTTAAACTACTCTGACTTTCAAGGCCTCATACATATATCGTACGTTGAATTATGCATTCAAAATTTATTTTAAATTTAATTTTGTGGGAAAACGCAATTAAAGTTTGATCACAGATTAACAGATAGAAAGACACATACATACATAATACATATCTTCGCAATGTTTTGGGAGCTAAGTTATCAATTATACTGAACATATCTGTGTTCGTATGGAAAAGTAGCTTCCCAACAAGCAAAATAAACTTAAAGAAAGTTTTTTTTAAGTTTTCAATTGTAAACATTAAGCTTACAAAACGTTGATTTTTTGTTTATAAAACGCTTGAAAGTAAGCGTAATATAATCGAAAAGGAACATTGGTTATAAGCGTAGAAATATAAACTTGTAATAAATGTTCAAAAGAAAGCTTTTTATAAGCGTAAAATTGTAAACTTATAATAAAGGTTCAAAAAAAGTTTTTTATAAGCGTATCAATACTTACTAAAAATTTTCAAAAGAAAGCTTTTTATAAACATTTTTATAACCCTTTATTTAAAGATATTTCATTAAAAACTCATACATAGATTGCTTAACATCTAGAAACTAAACGAAATGCGAATTTTCGGCGGACTCATCTACAGTCGCGAAAATATAAATAGGGAATAGACATTTTAGCGTACAAATTCACAATAACACATACAAATTAAGCATAAAAAAGTTAATTATTACATCTTGATGCGTGCTTTCAATTACTTGCGGTTATTGGCAAATTGGAAAAGCGACATCGATGCAGCTATATATTCCGCTTCATCGCCGCCATTCTCATTGATGAACTTTTCTGAAAAAAATTTAATACATTTTTAATAGAATGTTAAACTAAGAAAGGATAAGGAAAACTCATCATTTGAAGACTCGAATGCTCCACCGATTAGCGCAGCGGGTCCTGGATTGGATTTTATTTTACCGCATCGGTTTTATTTAATTTTTTCTTTTAATAATATATTTTAAAAAAAGTAAACACGTCACTTACGATTGAAAAAATGTTATATTTACTTCTTCATGTCGTTGGCATTTGCATTTCATTTATAAGTTTAAGTAATTTAAAAACATTCTCTCTCAAAACTTATTAAAGGTTTATTTGAAAAAACTTGTAATAAGCTTAATATTAAAAATGCTTATTTGACGCTTATTATAGCAAACTTACTTTAAGTTATTTTTAAAAACATTTACTGAAATGCTTGTTGGGTTATGTCGAAAGGCCGGCTTTAGTATAATGCGGCATTCCCTTTATTTTTTAAACGACAAGGAATTTTTTGATGAGACTTAAAAAGAATATTGACTTGCTAGCATCGGAACTACTTCTTGCACGTTTGTTTGCTAAAAGTTGTTTAACGGCTTAGCGCCCGTAAGTCATTCGCAATCGTATGCTGCGAATGCCGATTTATACTAAAGCCAGCCTTTCGACATAAGCTACTTTTCCATACGAACACAGATATTCTCCATATTAATTGTATGATGAAATATCCGAAAAGGTTAATTTTGAATTCTCTATATTATTAAATGTGCTATATTGTTTGAAGTCGGCAAAATCATAGTCTTATTAATTACAATCTTTTTATTCGCTACAGTTGCATATTATGTGCTACTTTATTTGTAATTTTTGTAAAACCATATCGCACATTTGCTTCAAGAGTGCTATAATCCAAAAAATGAAAACCTCGAGAAAAAAGCTTTAAAGTTTTGAATTAACACACATACGTACATATGTATGTATACTCGCATAGTAAAACTGAATGCATATTAGTTGTGTTTGCTTACAAATTATCCAGTAACTTGCCAACAACTCTCCAGTAACATAATTTCTGAGAATTCGCTCTCATAGAAAAAAAAATCCAAAAAAGTACGCGAACCCAAATCCAGTAATAATTTGCAAGTTTCATGAACAGCTGATAAGTTGCTTGTTTATTCGCAGCAAATTCCTAATAAAACAATATATTTTTATATTTAAATAGGTTTATTTTGTCAATTTCAACAAATAAAACCCATAAACAGCTTCGTTATTAGTTTAAATTGCATCCAGCAACATGCGATCAGCTGTTTTTCGTACTGGCAAATTCTTACAAGTAAAAATTTATCCAGTAAAAATCCAGTAAAAACTTGCAATTTCCCCTAGTTTGCAAGCTCTTGCGTACAAAAATGCTAAAAAATGAAAATTCGTAAAAACTATTACTGGAAATGGGTGAACAAACACAACTATTGTGTTCTAGTCAACAGGTTAGAGTTCGACCGATTCCCAATTTTTGGCCGACAACAAATCGCCAAAAATCAACACTTACCAAGCTACTTCAAATTTGCACTTTATGTACTTAAATTAAAAAAACTGCGTACTCAAAAAAACTAAAAAATCCGATTAAACAAAAAAATTTAAAATTTACCTTTATTTGTTTCGGTCAATTATAAAAGTTAAAATTTGACTTTTCTTTTTTCGGTCAATTATAAACGTTAAATCTGACCTTTAGTTTTTCGGTGAAAATAGCAGTTTACATATTCACTATACAAGAGTGGTATTCACCAAATTAAGAAAGTAAGTAGCCTGGCACTCTGAAAACGACTGTTGTCAACTGTCGTAGCTTGAGCTGATCTGCTCTTCTGCCAGACTGCCAGGCCACTTGCTCACTTAGGTGAATACCACTAATATGTTTTAATAAAAAATTCACATCCTCTCAATTGCAGTTTTCTATCTTCTGTAAACATTGAGTTTCTTTAATTTAAGCTTTAAGTTATTCACCTTTTTACGGGAATGATTCGGAATTCAATTTAACAATTAATATAGCTGCCAAGTTCTGCTCCGACATATTTTATCGCAAATCGCTAAGAATAATCGTTCTACACTGACTTGCGTCGCTGGCACTTGATGTATATATAATACATACCAAATCTCTTAGGCGGGGATATATACATTTTTTGCTCTCCCAGTAATCCATAAGGTCCGTATCAACATCAATGCGCTTATCCTTATACATAGGTGTCTGTTTCCATAAATGCTTTTCGAACGTAATCGTCGGAGAACAGAAAAGTGACGTTTTGACTTTTATATTTGACTGAAAAGATAAAAGTCAAATTTTAACTTTTATTTTTGACATATATGTAATACTCCTATATTGGCAGTAAGAGCTAGTACCGTCCGAAAACACTACAGTACAGATATATCAATAAACGCGTACGAAAGAAAAGGAACACATACGTTTATAAATAAACATGTACACAACATATATACAAAAACGGCACTCAAGTACACAATACATTGACAAAAACGGTACTAGACTGTCTCGCTTTGATTTCGGAATGCTTACACATTGAGAAGTTAGCTTACTGCCACTATAGAAGTATTACATATATGTATGATTTTTGACCGAAAAAATAAAAGTCAATTCATAACTTTTATTTTTGACTGAAAACGTATCGGTGAAAAAACAACGATTTTTTTTACCTTTTTGAAAAAAAGCATAACCGTTACGGTCCCTGGATTAAACAATTTCAAATTTTGATGAACATTTGTTAAAATTGCGGAAAAATAACTAGTAATTTTTAGCAAAAAAAAAACCGAGTTCAACTCCCATATAAAAAAATATATATATATATCTATCTCATGATCCGCTGATCGGATCTTAACCAGATTAGTATGGGACCACCTCTGAGACACTACCTTTCCGATGCAAAAAGAATTATCGAAATCGGTTGACGTGGTCCAAACTTATGCGGTAACATACATAAAAAAAAAAAAAAAAAAAATATTCCGACGAACTGATAACCTCCTCCTTTTTTGGAAGTCGGTTAAAAAGAATCGGCTAAGAGTCGGCCAAAAACGGCCGATGTTGATTCTTTTGGCCGATACTAGCCGATGCCGATGACGATTAATCGGTCGGACTAACAGGTAGTGGTCATTTCTGAATACTCTTGCTCCTGCAGCAAATGTGTAATATGTACATATGTACATATATACATATAAATACATCATATGCCCTCGGTGTTCATATAAAAATTTTAATTTTTTTCAGCGAGCCGCCTGCTGATTTCCCTGAGCCAGCAGTGGCAATTGAGAGCAAGAAGGAAATACCTGAAGATTTAATATGCAGCATTTGCAAGGACCTATTTGTTGACGCTGTCATGATCCCCTGCTGTGGAAGCTCATTTTGTGATGACTGTAATATTACTTTGGATCTTGAAATTAACTTTTGTTTTCACTAAAATATATTTTCAGGTGTACGTAGTGCACTTCTTGAATCCGAAGAGAATGAGTGCCCCGATTGCAAAGAAAGAGGTTGTTCGCCAGGTTCATTGATTCCAAACCGTTTTCTACGTAATTCTGTAAATGCATTTAAAAATGAAAATGGCTATACAAATTTGAGATCCAAGAAAGGTATTTAATATAAAATGAAAAGAAAAATATAAAGAATAATATTTACTAAAAATCATTGCTTTAGTTATTGTAGAAAAAGCTAATGATCAAGGAGAGAATACGTCAACGAAAGAAAAAGTTGAAACAGCTGATGTAAAAAAACCAGAAGAAAAGCAAATAGAAGTGTCAACTACTCCAAAGGAAATATCCAAATCTGATGAAACAATAAAAGAGAAAGATGTTGAAAATAGCTCAAAGATTGAAGCAACAAAATTGGAGGAAATTGAATCTGATTACGAGGATAACATAACTATCATGATGCCTCCAGTACCTGCGAAAAATACGAATGCTGGCACTGTCGAACATAGCGGACGCAGTGTTAGCCACCCGAAACCTCCTGGTATAGAAAGCTCTCCACGTCACAAGATGCAGGTAACATATGCAAATTTTTGGATATATAGTTAGGAATATTACTTAGCGAAATAAACTATGGCCATTTATAATGGTGATATTATGCGATCTTTTATAAAACAATGCATATAAGCTAAGCAAAAAAAAAATATTCCCGTATGTTATAATAAAAAAATAAAAGGTGTGAAGTTTTATTATCTTTAGAAAATGACAAAAAAATAATTTAAAACTCAAACCTCTTGTGTATACACTCAACAAGATTTAGATCCTTTAAATAAAGTCCATATTTAGATAGCCAGTCTAACCAAACAAATCTCTAGCTGTAGTTCCTATAAACATTAGAGTAGCCATTAGCAATATCGGAAAAAAGAAGTGTTAAAATTCGTGGTATCACCTTCTATATATGCGAGTATACTTAAAATTACGAAATACAAAGTTTTAGACAAAGTGAGAAATAATTAGGGAAGGCTGCCAGCGACTAAAAACCTGAAAAAATATATTTTATAATTTTAAATAAATAAATAAATAAATAATAACTACGATTTTTGTTTAGGTGTCCTATTTTGAAAAGTTTTCCTTATTAATAACATCTGTAATCTATAAGCTTTTTAAATGTCTAAAGTTAGAAAAAGCCTCCACCAATATCGGAATTTTAAGCCACTACGATAAGGAAACTAAGGTATCTTATCTTAAATTTTAAGCGTAGGATACGTAAAAAGCGTATGTCGTAAAAAACGACTATTATTGAACGAGCCATGACTATCAGCTCTGATATCCTATCTTCAGCTTTTTGAATCACTTAAAAAGTAAAATTCTCAATCTCAGTCTTATGAATTATAAATTAAAATCAAAGTAATTAAAAAAACTTGTTTCTATATTCGGGCTCAAATATGCTTGACAAAATTGTTAATACACTTTATATTCCCTTCTGTAAGTGTTTTAAGAAGTTCAATCCAGTTGTTATTAAGATATTGGTTTCTGATTTCAACCAGATCCAAAGAGTCTAGGAATACGTCCTTTAAAGAGAACGTGTCTCCGAAAAGTGCACAGGTCAGGAGATGGTGTTGAGTGCCTTGGGTAATCTGCGCCTTCGGGATGTCGGTAGGGCTATGTATATTTGTTAGGTGTCTATTTATATGGGATGTAGTGATGGTGGTTAAACTGTAGACATTCGCACTTCACTTTTACATGGAGGTATCATTTGATTTCCTCTTTATTCTCGCACCTGCCATGTTTTGTTGCTGGTGGAGAGGAAGGGGATTGTTGCACAATCGGCCATTACGTTGCCGTAAATTTCTATGTGACTCGGTATCCAGAGCAAGCGTATATTAGAACGGCTACCGATGACTAGGGGCCATTTTTACAGTGACGAGTTAACTCTCATTCGGCAGTTAACTACTGGTTTTCAGTACAAAAATTGAAAGTTAACTGCCGAATTTGAGTAAACCCCCGACTGTGAACATGACACTAAGTCTTTTATTCGATTAATACACCGAGAAAAAAGTAACATGATTTTATTAGAGTGTTTTTGGTTTTTCCATGTTAAACGTAGAATCCAGTTTTATAGAAAAACAAAGAATCAAATAAAAACGCTAAAGAAATGAAAAAGAAATTTTCTTCTTTCAAAATTTCTTAAATCGGTTTGTATATTCTCATATAATACATTTGTTCATATGAAAAATTATGGGGAGATACTGTTAATATACTGTAGTGACAATGTAAAGCATATGAATTTATAGCAAGTTCGATTTTCATACATCTTCCTCTAAAAACTTTTACAGATGCAGGGATGCCAAATGAGAACTGTTGTTTTTGTAGCGGCTACTGAGCCCCGTTCGGGGAGGTTCATCCCTCAACGTTGTCGTCAATTTCAGCTAGGGGGAGGCCCAGGAAGTGTGCAACTTCCACAGGGGCTGTCCATAGGGACAGGGGCGTTAGCTGAGTGGGGTTCTCAGGGCATGTGAAGAGGTGCCGGGAGTCATGCGGCGACTCTCCACATGCCGGGCATTGGTTGGGCACATCCTCGTTGATTCTACTCAAGTAACTAGGAGTTGAGCCTGCTGCAATAGCCAGAGCGAAGTTGGGCTATTGTAGTGCGGGTCTCTCGAGGCAGACAAAGTTCTGTCCCGTCCACGTCCGGTGGTTGTGTGCCTAGAACGGCATTCACAGGGCGGGAGTTTACATAACTTGAGACTGATTCCCTGTGAATGACGTTCAGGGCCTGTCGGTAGGTTGACGGGTCCAGAGGTTGTTTGATAAACCTCTGGACTTCGTCCGTCAGTTCGTAAAGATGCCTCCTGACGTGCCGCGGCGAGGGCTCTTCCGCGAGCAGCTGTCCGCTGGGATGGCCACGTCTGTGGCTCCCAGCAAGGAACTGCGTGCAGAGCATTATGTTATGCTCTTTTACTGGGAGCATCTGGGCCTCATCGTGTAGGTGGTGTTGGGGCGTCATCAGGAGGCATCCTGTCGCAGTTCGTAATGTCGTGTTTTGGAACGTCTGTAGCTTCATCCACTGCGTCCTGCTAGTCCCCGGCGACTATACGGGCGACATTGTTGCGGCTCTGAACTTTGTTGACAATTGCGGTTGTATGCGCCGAGAAGGAGAGCAGACTGTCGAATGTAACTCCGAGGAATTTCGGGTTATTCACCGTCGGTATTGTTACGCCATCGACGTGAATACCCAGTTGCAGTCTGACCTCCTTCGTCCAGGTGGTGAAAAGGGTTGCCGATGATTTCGCAGGGGATAGGGCAAGGCTCCTTGCAGTGAAGAAGCGAGAAAGTACGGCGAGGTAACCGTTTACTTTCGAGCACAAGTCATCAATTCCATTCCCAGACGCCATGATCGAACAATCCTCTGGTGGCTGAGGAAGCTTTGAAATGTAATATTTAAACAGTAGCGGGGACAGGACACCAGTGAGGAGTGAGGAGGCCTCTACATCTTCTAGTAGCGTTGAATGACTGACAGTGTCGAACGCCTTGGACAAGTCCAACGCTACTAGAATAATTCTCTCACAGGGGCGGTTTCGGTTTAGGCCACGAGTTATCTGAGTGTTTATGGCGTTAAGTGCTGTTGTGCTATGCACTTTACGGAACCCATGTTGATGCTTCGCTGGGATCAGGTGGTTCCTAAAGTACGGGAGCAGCAGGGCCCCGTGGAAAGGAGAGTTATCGGGCGATAAGACCCTCCTTTGTTGGCTGGTTTCCCCGGTTTGAGCTGTGGGACCACTCTCCCCATTTTCCAGAAGTCTGGAATGACGAGAGTGGCCATAGACAAGTTGAGGACCTCCGTTAGGTACGCTACTCCCGCAGGACCCAAATTTTTCAGCATCAACATGCATATTCCGTCGGGTCCAATGGCTTTGGAGGCTTTCGCCTTCCCGATGGCTACCCTTACCTCACCGCTGGTGAAAACAAAAGGCGCACTGGGTTTTGGCATTTTGTGCAGCCTTTTGGTCACGCGACGTTTGGCTTTATCCACCGGAGGATGCAGAATGATCTGCCGGCTAAAATAGCTCGCGAATATCTCTGGGTCCGACGAAGCGTGTACACCGAAGTCTATCTCGACTCTGTCGTCACGCTTCGTCGGGTTGGACAACGACCTCACGGTTGACCAAAGCTTGCTCACACCAGAGGTGAAGTTGCAGGTCTTCAAATGCTCTTCCCATTTCTTCCGTTTATGTACGTTCACAAGTTGCCGAATCTCCGAATTGAGATCCCTAATACGGGGATTTACGGGATCGGCCTGACGAAGGTTGTCGCGCTCATCAGCTAGAATAGCCGCTTCGGCAGGAAAGTTCGGACGTGGATCCTTAATACATCCTGCTGGGATGAAGCGAGCTGCAGCAGCGGTGACAACCCTGCGGAACTTTCGTTCACCTACATGAACGTCGGTTGGTATGGGTAGTGCAGTGAAGGCGCCCTCAGTAACATCCGTGAAGCCTTTCCAGTCAGCTTTGGAAAAGTTGACATAAGTCCGGTGATCCACGGAAGCAAAGTCGGCAGGTTTATCAATCGAGATGACTATGGGCAGATGGTCTGATGCTAGGGTCAGCATAGGTCGCCATGATGCGCTGTGTATCAGACCAGCGCTGACAATTGTTAGATCTGGCGAGGTGCAGCAGCTGCCCATAATCCTAGTGGGTGCGTCGTCGTTCATTGTGCAGAATGTCGAATCGTCTATCTGCTCAGCTAGATGTATTCCCCTACGATCATTTGACAGGCATGAGTGCTAAAGATCGTGGTGCGCGTTAAAGTCACCAACTACCATACGGTTTTCACCTCTGAGTAGCGCACTTATTTTAGGGTGATATCCTGCCGGGCAGCTGGTGACGGGGGGTATGTATACGTTACGTTGTATCCGTTCACGTTGTATCCGGCGCAATTCAAGAGGGTTGAATTGCCGTGTAACTTCGTCTCTTGGACCGTAGATATTAATATTCCATGCCTTCCCATAAAGACAGTTATCTCCTCGATCTTGCTCTGGAGTCCGTTACAGTTAAATTGTAGCACCTTTGTGTGCCTTGGGAGACCGATTGTGATGTGTGGTGTTAAAGAGTTGTGTGGCCTGCCGGCCCCCTGTTGTACGTGCTGCAAAAGGGGGTGCTTCTTTGTGGTGGTGGTTGGCGGCGTCGCGGGGGAGGGATGCGACGGGGCAGCACAGCAGGGGCCCACATAGTCACTCGTCCAATCTCGCGTGTTGCGAAGTCCTGAGCACGCCCTAAAGTGGCACCAGCCGAGGCAAGAGTTGCACTTGACTGATGTCACGTTACGGTATATTCTGGACTGACAAACAGAGCAGATTGTCGGAGGGACTAGGAGTTGCCGGCGGCGGTGTGTTGGTGCTATTGTGTTTGTTTGTGTGTCTATTGTTGTGTTGTGTTGGGGTGTGGGTGTGTTGATTGTGTGCTGCCCAGGCGGGTGGGGGTTTGCCGTGGAGGCGGTCCGGTTCGCACAGCATGGGGCCACGAACGACGTGGTCCATTGCCGGTGCGTACGTACGCAGGTGTAGATTTCAGGCCCTG